GCCCAACTTCGTTCTTCTGCCTGTGGCGACCCAGTTGTTCCAGCACCACTTGAAATACTATTCTGTCCCCATTGACTTGTCTTGGCACCCTTGTCAAAAATTAACTGACCATAATTACAGATGTTTATTTATGGACATTCAAGTCTATTCTATTTCTCTATATATCTGTCCGTATGCCAGAAACATATTGTCTTGATTACTGTTGCTTTATAAGTAAGTTTTGAAATTGGGGAGTGTTAAGTCTTCCAAATTTGTTCTTCTTTTTCAAGATTATGTTGGCTGTTTTTTGGTCCCGTGCTTTTTGATATGAATTTCTTCAAAAAAGACAGTTGGAATTTTGATAAACATTGCATTGAATCTGTAGATTACTTTGGAGAATGACAATATTAACTTTGTCACTCCATGATTATGAGATGTCTTTTCACTTACTTAAATCTTCTTTAATATCTTTTAACAATGCTCTGTAGTTTTCAATGTACCAATCTTATGTTCTTTTGTTAAATTTATTCTTATTTTATCATTTTCATTGTTATTGTAAAAGGACTTGTTCTCTTAATTTCCTTTGGACATTGTTCATTGCTACAGTGTAGATATACATTTGATTTTTCTATGTTGATGTTGTAATCTGTAACCTTGCTAAATTTACTAGTTCTAATTGGAAGAGTTTGTGCAAGATTGTTATTAATCTTTAAATGTTCTTTTTTTGATTTTTGATGGCTTCCTTTGAAACTTACCCTTTGCTGATGTCAAAAGGCAGGCAGGGCCTACAAATGAAACAAGAAGGTGATGTTTATGCTGATTGTCCCCTCTACGATAATTGACTTATATTACAGTGAAAGTGAATGACTCTGTATAAAACTGTTGGGTCTTCATTTGGCTCCATTCTACTAAGCAATGATGAGTGCTTTACCCCTGAAGGATATGCTTAACTATGGTGTAAGTTCAAAGGTTTTTATATTTTGAATTCAGAACTGTTGTTGGAAGATGGCTTTAAGTACCATTTATCTCAGTGGAGCATTGGGTATGTACTTGGCTCATTGCCCTCAACAACCTATAACTTATTAGTACAAATTAGTCTAGAAACATCATTTAAAAAAGCCTTGTAAATAAGTGTTATACTGACTTCCTCTTGAGTAAGAGAGTCTGAGAACAAGGAGAGTTTGTTGAATCCCAGACATCACGTAAGGTAATATGAATAATAAACATTTAGTTGTCTTCCTACATGTTTCAAGGTACTTTTTAGTCATTAATCACTCAATGAACTCAGTGGGGAAAATTAGCACTAAAAAAACCCAAAAAGAAAAAAACAATAATAGTAGCTATTATTGACTAGGTAGTTGACTAGCATGTGGGGGTTGTCATATAGTATGGCAGACTATCCTAAATCTTTTACACTTACTATCTCTGTAGGAGCTCTGGTAGCATAGTGCCTAAGGTACTTGACTACTAATCAGAAGACTGGAGGTTCAAACCCACCAGCCACTCCTTGGAAGGAAGGTTGGGCAATCTACTTCCATAGTGATACTGCCTCAGAAACTGAAGGAGGGGTCGCTATGAGTCAGGTGTGACTCAATGGCACACAGCAACAACAACAACATCTCTTTCATTCACTTTAACCATTTCATGAAGTCAGTACTAATATTATTTCCATTTTATTGATGAAGAAATAGAAGCAGAGAGGTAATCTGAGTTGCTTAGTGTCATGTAGGTAGAGAATGGTAGAACAAGGATTTCACCTAAGTTACGTGGCTCCAGATTCTGCCCTGAACCAGAAGTTGTAGTGAATTAGGCATATTCTTGAGCTGGGGTTCACATTTCAAGTTCCTGTATTCCACATTCTGGCTGTAGAAGTCATTTGTCCCTCTGTTCATGAAGAAGGAAATCTTCAATCAGCATTTAAGAAATGTCCAGTTTCTCCAAAGTACTCAAGTTGTATTAAGAACCTTAAGTACTAAGATATTAAAGACTTGTTATTAGACTATCTCTCTCTGCAAGGATAATGTAATATTACAAGTTAATACAATAAATATTTAAAATTTATTGAATACTTACTTATTGTGTGTCAGTAGTGCCTTACTTGTATAAATTAATTGAATCTTCAAAAAAAATCTATGAAATAGGCATAATTATTATTTTAGATGCCATTTGTAGGTGAAGACACTGAAACAAGGATGTGAGTGACTGGCTTACGGTCAATTCACAATAAGTGGCTTGGCCTGGACTTGAGCCCTGGTAGTCTGCTCCAGAGTTCATGTCCTTAACCATTTTGCTATAGAATTTCTCTACGTAAACAAATAATCACCTGAAATATGGTCACAACAATGCTAGCTAAGACTGGATCATTGTGCTTATGCATGTGGAGGTTGAAGTCACTTCTATGGTGGAGAGGCATCAAGTTGTCATCAGTACAAGGAGAGAATGTGTTGTGGCTGAAAGGAGGAGAAAGGCTGTTCTGTAATATGAGACAACCTGAAGCAAATATAGAAATATGAAAAGAAAACTTAATTTGGGGGAGGTTTGAGCTGGTGCTTTAACAGAAGATGGGAATACACTGGTAGGTTGTGGTATGCACTCAAAAACTGTGACCACTGAGTCCTGAGGGAGCTGGGGTCTGGGAGGGTGTGGAGCTTTACCTCAGGGATAAAAAGGGATAGCTTAAAAGAGAAGTTTTAGAAAATTATTTTGATAAACTGAATTAGCAGGTACAGAGGTTGACTCAACAATGGATTCATATAAACATCAACTACTATACAAATGTTTCTAGTAGTGTAAGAAGAATCTGGAAAATAGCAAGAAAATTTTCACCAGGCAAGGTGATGTTTCTCTTTTAGTACCAAAATTAGAACAGTTTTTGTTTTCTTGTGGCAGTAAAAATATGGCCCTGGGTTTATTCAGCACTTTTTGTCAGACAGTGTTCTACAGATTTTGTGCATCGTGTTCTACTACCAATGCAGAATTAGGTATTCAGATTTTTGTGTTTGGGTAGCAAGAGAGTGGGCCCAATACATGTCAGTCACCCTAGAGCTGGATGTGTCTGGGTCAGTTTTCCTCTTGACATGTAGGCCTTGTGGTCTGCAGCCTTGATGGACTCCCTTTCTTTCCTCATACAGATGTGTTTACCCCTTTGTCAGGAGGGCACTGCCACTGTCCTTCAGTTATTGTTGTTGTTGTTAGGTGCTGTCACGTTGGCTCCGACTTACAGTGACGCTATTTATAACAGAATGAAACACCACCCAGTCCTGTGCCATCCTCCAATAGCTGCTATACTTGAGCCCATCATTCCTGGCACTGTGTCAGTCCATCTCATTGAAAGCCTTCCCCTTCTTCACTGATCCTTTACTTTACCAAGCATGATAGCCTTCTCCAAGGAATAAAACCTTCTGACAACATGACCAAAAGTAGGTGAGACAAAGTCTGGCCATCTTGCTTCCAAGGAGCATTCCGGCTGCACTTCTTCCAGGACAGATTTGTTTGTTCTTCTGGCAGTCAGTGGTGTTTTCAGTATTCTTTGCCAACAGCACAATTCAAAGGCATCAGTTCTTCTTTGGTCTTCCTTGTGCATTATCTGGCTTTCACATGCATATGAGGTGATTGAAAATACCATGTCTTAGCTTAGGCACACCTTAGTCTTCAAAGTGACATCTTTGCTCTTCAACACTTTAAAAAGGTCTTTTGCAGCACATTTGCCCAGGGCAGTATGACGTCTGATTTCCTGCCTGCTGTTTCCATGAGCATTCATTGTGGAATCCAAGTGAAATGAAATCCCTGACAACTTCACAATCTTATCTCCTTTTATCATGAAGCTGCTTATTAGTACAGTTGTGAGGATTTTTGTTTTCTTTATATTAAACTATAATCCATTCTGAAGACTGTAGTCTTTGATCTTCAAAGATCACTGTCCTTCAGAGTCTGAGGCAACTGTAAAGGATTATCTAAATTATTAAAATAAAGCCCATGTGATATTTTCAATGATATTATTATAAAATTGAACTTTCCAAATTATTTTACTGAAAGGAAAAAATTACACTCACATCAAAAGTAAAAAAAAACAGTACTGCCCAACTATCTCACCCACCATATGCAAATGAAGATCAGTGAAGGTCAAGAGTCAATATACAGGGAAATTTTTTAAAGAATTTTTATTGTGATTTAGGTCAAAATCTACAGAGCAAATTCATTTCTCATACAGCTGTTCATACACATTTTGTCTCATGACATTGAGTGCAACTACCCACAATGTAATGGCTCTCTTCCCACTTCCTCCTCATAGTTACCTCTTCCCTGTGTCCTTCTATCCCATGTACTCCTTCCCCCCCGAGCCAACTCCCTGTGCCTACACTGCCCCTCTGTTCTCACATAATTGATCTTTCCAAGGAGTGCATCTACCTGATGTAAATGTTCAGCTACATGTCTGTCTTTTATTTGGCTGGAAGCCACAAGAGTGAGTTCAATTCCAGACCTGAAGTACAGCTGGGGCTATAGTCTCAGGGGTTTCACCAGGTTCTATCACACCAGCAAACCATATCCTTAAAGAATGTTGATGGGATTTGGATTGGGATTGCATTGAATGTATAGATTGCTTTGGGTAGTATTGACATTTTCACAATGTTCAATCTTCCTATCCATGAGCATGGTATGTTCTTCCATTTATGTTGATCTCTTACAGTTTCTCGAAGTAGTGTTATATAGTTTTCTTTGTACAGGTCTTTTGTGTCCCTGGTAACATTTATTCCCCAATTTTTTTTTTGGTAGCTATTATAAGTAATAAATGGTACTGATTTCCTTATTTCTTTTTTAGCAATCACTTTGCTGGTGTAGAGGAATCCAACTGATTTTTGTATGTTGATCTTGTATCCTGCCACTATTCTAAATCTCTCAATTAGTTCCAATAGTTTTTTTGCCATGTCTCTTGGGTTTTCTATAATATAGAGGGAATCTTTAAGGATACTTTTGGTCCATTTCCACTCTCAAGGTAACCTAGTGGCTTTTTTTCCTCAAAGTCCTCATACAGGCATTCAGGAATACCAGGATGGTGTGCCCAAGATCCCAACGGCCTGCATTACAGTGGAAGATGCAGAAATGATGTCAAGAATGGCTTCTCGTGGAGCCAGAATTGTTATTCAGCTGAAGATGGGGGCAAAGAACTACCCAGATGCTGACTCCTTCAACACTGTAGCAGAGGTCATTGGGAGCAAGTACCCAGAGCAGGTTGGTAAAGGGGAGGGTGGGCTGTCTGGGAAAAGGCTATGTTGGTCAAATTTCAGTTTTCAGAGAAAGTTTGGGAAAGAGAGAACATGAGCCTGCAGAGCTGGTCCTCATAGATTTCGTTATAGGCAAAAGCTTGATATATAATCTGTCCCTTCAAAACTTTTACTAAATTGACTGGAGGAGAGCAAAATTAATTGAAGGGCATGAGAGGATCCATGATGTAGAAATGCAGCCTCTGAATAGTTGAAAGCTGTGTTTGTATATATGCATTATATTCATTCCATTTGGAGCAGTTTCACATTTGAGATGATACTAATAGTTACGAGTTATTATGCTCATTGTCTGACTTATCTAATTTAATCTTTTCACAGCTCAGTGAAGTAAAATCAATTGTTTTCATTTTACACATGAGACAACTAACTTACAGGGATAGTCTCTTGCACAAAGTCCACACAACTAGTAACTGGCTGGGAAAAGGGATTTGAACCCAGGACTTTGTGACTGTTGTGATTTAAACTAAGCTTTAAATCACAGTGTATGTGCCATTTTTCTTGCTTAGCAAAGCTGGGAAATCAGATAGATCTAGAGGCAAATCTAAACTCTATACTTTACTAGTTTAATGTGAAATACCTTGGGCAAGTTAATTGCACTTTGAGTCTTAGTGACTATCTGTGCAAAGAAAGGGATAATATATGTACCTCACAGAATTATCGCACATCCAATAGTCTAGAACAGTGTTTGGCTCACCAGAGATACTCACTGAGTGTAAATTGAGTTCATTTGAAATCAAGTGTGCAGGAAACACACCTCTTATAAAGTTTCTGTACAAAACTCCTTTATTAGTAGTTTTGAAAATCATTCTATTTCTGAAAACAGAATTTAAAAATAATTTTATTTTTACATTTATAAATGTATTTTGAGGTTATCATTGGGCTAAGGAAAAGAAAATGCAATGGATTTTGTCTCTCCAAAACAAAACCTCCTGTATATATCTTGAATCAGGATCTCCTCTAGACTTGAGGGCTGTGCTACTCTAAAGATTCTTTTTTGTTCAGGGGTCTTTTCTCCCTAGCATACATCAGCTCTGTGGTTAAGACCACAGGAATAATGGAAAAGCAAGATCTCAGTAGACGATAAGCCATCAGATAGCTGTGAGTTGATATTGACTCAACGGTGTACAAGAACAAAAGGGATATACCACAATTTATCCACTGCACAGATGATGGGCATTTGAGTGGTTTCTAGTTTTTGACTATTGACAAGTAAAGCTTCTGTCAACATTTTTATACATGTCTTTCTTTGGATATATGTTTTCATTTCTCTTGAGTTGATACCTAGTTGTGAAATATTGGGGCTATCCTGCATTTTAAGCACATTTGTCTTTGTCAAGATGCTTGGTTCTCTGTATTCTGTAGGAATTCTGTCTCTATGGATAGATGGGCAATTTCAGAGAAGTCTCAGGACTCAGGATTATGTCTTTCACCTCTGGCATAGATTTGTACAGTGCTCTAAGAATTGGTCATAAATACCCTGCTATCAAGATGTAAAAGGTAGATTAACAAAATTTGTCACACTACGAAATCACAACATACGTTTTACAGAAGGAATATCAATGAGCGCTGTGAAGTGAAATTCATGTAGCTGTGTTTTTGGAAGAATCTGCCTTGTAACTGGCCTGGACACACAGGGCATGCCCAGACTATGAACAGAAGCAGCAAACATGTAGTCTCCCTCTAGGTGTTAAGTTAATTATTGAGTAAGTGCAGTCCATTTTGGTCCTGATAAATGCTTCCTCTTCCATGAAGCCTTTTCTCAACCCACAGCACTTTGTGCCATTGTTTGGGTGTTATCTCCCACCAGAGCTTACAAATACCCTGTTTCTGTTATTTCTGTTTGTTTGTTTATATAGTTTCCTTACTGCCTGTCCCAGGACTTTGCATGCAATAGCTTCTCCATAGATTATCTTGTTTTCAGTAAAATGAAGAGAGATAGTAAATGAGGAGACTAGTTGGAGGATTCTTAATTTTGATCCTCTTTAACCCTGGAAATTTTTCTACTTATTTAGAACATTGCTTGACTGTCCATTGGCATATTGGATATCTCCCCTGAATGCAGCTCAATTTCAAAATGTCCAAATTGAACAACTTCTTTCTACATGGTCTTCATCTTAGTTTCTTGTCTGTGTTAAGAGATATCCAACTATCAGGACAGTTAGAAAACTTCAAGTTTATCTTTCATGCCCCCCCCCCCCCCTTATCACTGTCCTACAGCCGGGCACCATGTCCTGTTCAGTCTACCTCTAACATACCTTTTAAAAATGTGGTCTCCTTCCCCTGGCTTTTCCTGCCCGATACAGGCCCTTGCTACTTCCTTCTTTGTCTCATTTATTTATTTTTTCCCCTTCTGGTCTCTCCCCTACGTTTTTTTGGCAATGCAGCTGAAAGTTATCCTTGAAAGCACTGATCTCAATATGGTGTTCCTCTGCTTTCAGGCTGCCCTCTTCCATTCCCTATAAGATAAAGATTGTGATAGACAAATGCTGGGGTGAAGGATCAGAGGTTAGCAGACAGAGGGAAAGACAGAGAGGGAGGACAGTTTGGGAGGCTTAGAGGGCAGGCAGTTATAGTTAAGAGGAAACTATATGGTATTAATCATAAATGAAAAGGAATTGACAATGACAAAAGGGAGAAAGAAAATGTATATAGAAACAATGCCAAATGAGAACTGTTCTTTTGTAGGCAAGTGTTGCTGTTCAGTTCTCCTAAACTCTGGCATGCTTTCTTAAAGTCATTCAACTTCATTCTTAATTATCAATAAACCAACTCTTCAGTTATCAACATGGTTGGGTTCCAAAGACCAGGTCCTGATACGAATATAGACATTCTGCAAATGTGGAAGATGACCACATCAGATCACAAAGCGGACGGTGACTCCATCAATACATAACTGCCAAATTGCATCATTGCATAACTGCCAAACCACTGAGAATCATGGTCCAGCCAAATTAACACATAACCTTTACCATGATAGCCAGTGTTATTCTTGCCTCACACCTCAGTATTCATTACTGCCAGTCATACATCGTTAATGTGCAAAAGTAGAATAGTCTATTATTTTTATTATTTGTTGTCAATGTGAAATGTGGGCTAATGAGATAGTCAATAAGTGAGGAATAGGTGTAGTACTGACAGTGAAATAAATTTGATTGGATAGTTTAGGTTGACTCTTATCTCTGATACACCCTTGGTAGTTCCATATCGTACTAAAGAGTAGTGCTGAAAATATGGACAGGCAAATTAGCTGCAATTAAAGTTATTTCTAAAAATGAAGAAAGTATGTTGAAATTACCATTATTCTGCCTGCAGGTTGAATATGCTGGGGAGACTTGAAGATAGGCAGAGAGGAGGCAGGTGGGCTAACACTCAGGCCGGGGCTGATAGACATTCCTAAGTGATACTGGCACAGCTCCTTACCATCACATTATGGCTGGTGCAGCCTAATAAACAGAAAAAAATTAGCAAATAAAGAATCCTTTTGTTTTGGCCAAGGACCTGTAGATTAGGATGTGGTGAATTTCAGCTCTAGAAATGTGTACATGTATTAAAATATTTCAAAACACTATTTCACAGAAAATTTTACAAAAGACACAGGTGATGGTTGCACAGCAATTGCACATGTAATTGATTTCACTGAACTGTATTCGTGAAAAACGTTTAGTTGGTAAATGTGCTGCTAACTATAGTTTTACAACAATAATAGTACAAAAACTTAAAATTTGGCCAAATTAACCACAGACTTTTGAAAATGCCAGAACACAAATACTTTATTAGGTTTCCAAATGTGTGTAAATGGCATAGAAGGGGTGAAGAAATAAACAACCAAACCCATTGCTGTCAAGTATTCCAATTCATGGCAGCCTTGTGTGTTACAGAGTAGAACTACTCCAAAGGGTTATTCTTGGCCGTAATCTTTACAGAAGTAGATCTCCAGCCCTTTTCTTTCACTGAATGGGTTCAAACCACCAACCTTTAGGTTAGCAGCCAATCACAAACCGCTTGTGCCACTCAGGCTCTGTATTATTGACATAAATCCCACCCTTTCCCGAAATAACACACATTGTTACATTTTGGTTCTTCCAAGCCACCACTCCTTTGTCCAGTCTGACCTCATCAGAAACTGTCCTCCTCTGTGATTTGAGCACGTTGTGTAGAATTCAGCAGACCTTGAATACACCTAAGAAGTACATTTCTGGAGAAACAGACCTTGGGAAGCTTAATATTAGGGCTCTGAAGTCTTTTCTCTCAGACAGCTTTATCCCTGGGAAACCAAGTTATATATGAGGCCTATCCATTGTTGAGATATATTCAAGAATTCTTCTGAGAGAATTGTGTGGAAAAGTGTTGTGATTTCTTCTTCTTTTTTGGTTAATAATAGCCAAACCCATTTTGATAAAGCCTTGATGAGTGGAATTGCTTTTTTATACGTACCCTTTTCCTAAAGCAGTTATTTTCATGGATTCAAAGAGCAATTTGAGTTGCAAATACCAGTATCATTTCAAATATAATGTAGCACTATAGGCAATTGGGGCACATAGAAATGAAAACCATAGTTGAGACCTGGATTGAGAAAGGACACTTCACTTTTTCTTTTCTTTCATGTGGGGCAGGGTTTTTCAACATCAGCACTATTGACAGTTTGGACCGAATAATTTTTTTATTGTGGGGGCTGTCCTGTTCACTGTAGCACCCCAGCGTTGTAGCGTTCCCATCCCCAGTCATGACCATAAAAAATGTCTCCACTTCTTGCCATATGTCCACTGGGGGCAAAAATCACATCAGATTGAGAACTTCTAGTGTGGAGTTATGGAAAGAAGACTGGGTAGCGTCTGAGGCTTTGGATTGGCTTTGTTCGTGACACACATAAACTGAGTGGTTTTGGGCCAATTAATACTGCATCTAGAGTGACGGACTTCAGAAAACCTCTAAGCTCATTTATGGGCC